TAGGTAATGACCCTGAATATAGGAATTTTAAAGTTCAACTAGCATTGTATAAAAAAAATCGTGCATCATTAATTATCCAGCAGGTATATCGTTTATGGAAAAAACAAATTAATTCAGCTAGAATAATCCAAAATGCAGTAGTTCAATGGCTTTATCAACCTGATGGATCATTTATGCAGCAAGCCAAAGATCGATATTATCTAAATGCAAATAAGCTTAGTTAAAAATACTAATTTCGTCTTGTAGTAAGATATTTTAACTGCATTTATAAACCGCGATCATGATAATCAGTTTTTTTACGTATTATGTAATTATGTAGTATGTTTCTATTACTCGTGACATGTATTCGAGTTACAGAGTTGATCATAGGTTAGATCCACATATTTTTGTGTGACTTAATTTCTATATAGAAGTTTGTGGAACATTCTTGTATAGTATAGATAATCATTATACATATTTTTTTCGTTTTATTTTAGCCTGGGAAATACTTCTATACCACATATACTTTGCGATAAGAACATGCTAAACGAAACTCAAAAAGGATATAAGAAGAAATAGACCATTAATTTTTTATTAGTATGATTAACAAAAACCCCAAGTTATGGGGAGTCGAGATTGCAAGATTGCGAGATCGTCGAGATTTAGCCTTATCAGAACAATTGTCTTATCTAAATGGAATTCATTCTCCTCAATAACACCAAATATATATATATTTCAGCTTTGTTGAATTCTTGGCGTTTCGTTGCATATGACAACATAACAGATTTACTTCAATCTCGCTGGTTTTATAATTACTATATTAAGAATGAACAGATCGTAAGTAGACTCATCGGAGATTTGAGTGATAAAGGTAAGATTCCTCTAGCGAATTTTAGATTTCGTGAAGTATATAAATAAGTAGATTTTGGGAGACTCTGTCCTTACTCACATTTTAAGGTACACATAATCCTGAAAAAATATTACATCGTATCAATTCAGGTATTATTTACAAGAAATTATTCATCTATACAAGGAATTTTACTCACTATGAATCTTCGTTTTAGGAACCACAAAAATGTCTGGCATTATTAGTCTCAACTTTCGCATCAATGGTGACAAAAATGATGAAGAAGTTTTTGTAATCGAAATTCCTAAAGAAAAAAAGGTCGATATGCTCAAACCCTTGGTAAAGAAACGATTAGCACCCCTAACAAATAATGTTCCTTCTACAAAAATCAATCTTCAAACGGCAGGTGGAATGAGAATGAAAGCAATAACAAAAATTTCTAAATATTATGACAGAGATATTAATGAAGATGAAATTCACATTTTAGTATTCCTCCTTGAATAAATAGATTTTTTATTGGATAATATTCGTGCATTTCATGAATATGTATTCGCAAATTTATTTTTATATTAGCCTTACTACGGGCAATGTTTTTTATTTTGTTATAATAAAGCCCAAAGGGGCGACTTAAAAGGGTCATGTTTATTGCCACATGCATTCCATTATGCGGATCGAAGTTATCATCCTGAATTCACATGTTTTTCATGTGACCTAATTTCTCACATATACTTTGATTCGGTATTTTTTATTAATTTTAATGTTTTTTGCCAATCAGCCCATAGGGCGACTCTTTGAGTTATGAAACTCGCTTTTCCATATAGATTCTGCTATAATAAACTTTCGGACGTAATGCTATTTCGAGTTGGGATATTTTTTTCGAGCAACATATGAGCAAATATATGGGAGCGTACGAAAATATGTAAAGGTCCGTAGTTCAAGAACTTATCCCCGACAATTCACTACGTTCATAGTCAGTTTGTTAAAGACAGTTATACAGTAACTATATATCCACAAAAATAGATAGACAATTATTTTCTGGCTTCGAGGTTATAGACCGAGAAGGCGGGTTGTAGTCATTATGCCGAGAACAGAAAAAGTCTCAGCTACTAATCTTAAAAACCTCGCATATACTATCCTAAAAAACTTCAATGACGATACAGTTAAAAATAAGAAATTCACCGAGTTGCCTAACTGTGTAGAATGCGATAAGAAAATTTTTGCCAGCCCCAATAAAGTGTTCACAGTCCTATTTTGTAACCACACGTATTATAGAATCTGCATTGAGAAAAAGCTTCTACTTACCAAGCAACAAATGTGTCCATTTCCTGACTGCGGTAAAAGCGTTGAAATTCTTGAGGAGTTTATCGAGCCCGATTCTCAATCCAGCAATTCGTCAATAGTTGAGAAGATGGGAAAGTAACTTACTATCCAATCTCAGGAAATTATTGATGAGGAGATGTCGAATGTAGATAATGGAGGGAATAAAGATAAAGATAATTCGAATGAAATAGGTAATGATATAGTGGGAGGAGCTCAAAAAAGACCTATTGAAGTTACTTATGAAGAGACATCCACGATGCTAGATAAATCGCCTAGTAAAAAAGCAAAATCTACCAAACCGGTCGATAGAGAAAAATCGGCGAACCTGAAAAAACTTATTGATGAATTGCTATCTAACTATATTCATCCGCAGATTGACGAAGTTGTTGAAGAGAGTATCCTAGAAGGGAGTAGCATTAATTTTTTATATTTATTCAAAAAAATTGATTATACCGAATCTAGGAATGAAATCACAAATCAAGAGGTAATTAATAACTATTATAATTTAGGTGGAGGCTTATATAAGCGATATAAAGAGTACAAAAAAGATAATAGTAAAGAAGCATCCAATGCTTTAGTTTTTGATGACGTTAGAAAGCAAATTCCAAAAGTGAGCGATACTGCATTATACCTGCCACCCAAATTCAAAATCCAAATGCCAAAATCTCAAATGCTGAAATCCCAAATCCCAAATCCCAAATTATGATTAGTATTTTTTGCCAAAATCCCAAATCCCAAATCCCAAATACTAGTAATTTGGGATTTTGGCGTCCCAAATTCCAAATGATTTGGGATTTGGGCAACACGTATATACTGCATTACGAAAGAGAATGGAAAGAGCTCGAAAAATATATAAACTTTTTACTGCTATCATTAATGGTGATGAAAAAATGACAAAACAAAAAATAGCACTAATTAGATCATTTTCATTGTATTCTATTTCAAACTTAAGCCAGAGCGATATAGATTTTATAATTGTAAAATGTTTGAGAAATAAAAATACGAAATAATTACTGCGCCATACTGTACCCTCGTGATATACATGTCACAGATAATTGTATCGATATACATTTTATTTATCATTAATATATTCGAAGTCAAATAAAACTTAATTATAATAATGTGCATGTGACATGGAGTCCAGGGGAACAACCCCATGTGATCGCAGAAAATGGTTTATTCACTGTGTCTAGTTAAAAATTTGTACAAATTGATTATAAGTTTTTTCCCATTCTTCCATAAGATCATCAAGCTATGCAGTACTTAATTTACTTTTTAGTATACCACGACATAATAATTTTTCACCAACTAGCCTTTCCCGATCTGTTAAAAATTTATGATATTTTCTAGGGTCTTCCTTCCTCTTTATTCCACCTTGATAACA